GCACTTCAAATAAACATTTCAAGGCTCTTTGAGAGATTTACCTTCCTATTATGTTGCTTATTAAGTATCTTGTTAGAATTTATTTTATTTTGTATGACAAATTCTTTATTAAATTTATCCATTAAAGACTAAAACCGTTAGAAGTTATTTGATACATGAAATTATGGTTAATGTGTTCCTTAGTTGTATTTGACTCAGTAAAAAAAATTACCCATTGCTTTTTATATATGTCTCTGAAGATTTCATGTTATGTGTATGGACTGTAGAGTTTATGCTGAATTTCTCATCTGGGAATACTTAAATACTAAAATCCTCTCAGGGTATGCCTACTTTTGCATTTGTCTTCTAGAGTTCACATTTACCAGCTAAGAAAATTTGAAAATGAGCAGCTGGTTCTCATCTGGGAACACTTAAATACTAAAATCCTCTCTGGGTATGCCTACTGTTGCATTTGTCTTCTAGAATTCACATTTACCAAACCAAGAAAACTTGAAAATGAGCAGCAGAAGGAAACGTGCTCCTCCAGTGAGGATAGATGAAGAAAAGCAGCAGCAGCTTCATTGGAATATGCATGAGGACAGAAGGAATGAACCTCTCACCTTAACTGATGATGAGTATCCCTGCCCAGATTCAGATGCCACTTCTGCTCATTGCATCATCCTAGATGATAGTCTAAAGGAAGAGGTGGCTCACAGAGATAAGAAGAGGTGTTCAGAGGGAGTGAGCTTCTCAAAATCAATTGAGAAAGAAGAGACTGTTGGTATTTTTTCCCCTTTGTCTGTAAAACTGAGTATTTTGATTACTCCATATCACTTTGATAATTCTTGGAAAGCACTTCTGGGAGAATTAACTCTACAGCTTCTTCCTGAACAGAGTTTAATTGAAAATTTTTCTGAAAGGAGTTTTACTTTGATGAGTTCAGAGTCAAGCAATCAGTTCCTGATCTATGTTCATTCAGAATGCGAAGATGTAGAGAAACCAGAAAAAGGACTCAAAGAACCAATCCATGCTTGTGACAAGAGTATTCTAGTGGAATCATCCTTCAGTGGTGAAATGTTAGAAGATTTGGGGTGGCTACAAAAGAAGAGAAGGATAAAACTTTACCAAAGACCAGAAGGAAATCACATTATCAAGGTACTCAATTTCTGTGGTATCTTTTATGGTTCTTCTACATTGGCAGTCCACTTTTAAAGTAACTTAGGAAGAAGGTTCAAAAAGTCAGCAAAAAGCCTCTCATTAAGTTTCAAAGTACAGTTTATTTTGGGCTTTCAAAACTATAAAAAAAAAAAAAAGTTATAGCAAATCATTTCCAGATTGTACTTTTTCAAGGAGATCTTCCTGATTGCTCCTTTCCATCTTTACTCTCAGTGACTTGTTTTGGTCCTCATCATTTCTTCCTTACTGTAGCAGTCATGTAACTATTTCTCTGTTGCCTGTCTTGCCTTTCCAAATCCTTCAGCTACTTTGTCTCTCTAATGCTTGGTTACGTAGTTTCATTATCCAGGGAAAAATTAATTGCAATCTAATGCTTCCAATGAACACAAATGAAATTCTGTTCTTTACTGCCTGTAGAATTAAGTATAATCTTTCTAATCTGGTATAAAAGTCCCTCCTTTGACAGGCCCTTGAGTCTTCCTTTATTACTCTGCTTTTTATTTTGTCTCAGAAACTCAAAATTGATTTATTTCCTTCTCATCCCCTGCTGTCTTTTTGCATCTTAGCTTTTGCTCTAACAGTTCTCTCTGCCTAGGTTGTTTCCTTCCCTTCCCCTTCCATGGTAATTCCTGGTCATTCTTGAATATTCAGGTTAGCGTTGAATTTATCCAGGGACATATTTTCTTCACCCCCATGGGTAGTGTTATATGCCCTTTCCCCAGAGTACCTGATACATATTTTTATTTTTGCCTTGGCTACTTGCAGTGTACATACATTTTAGATCTTTCCCCCTTGCTATACTATGAAGCCTTTTATCTTCATAGCGTAGTAAAATACTTGGTACCTAACAGATAATCAGTAAATAAATGAATAAATTTCTAATTTATTTCAGACTCTGCCATTCACTAGCCATGTCACTTTTTGTGAATCTTCTTTCTGTATGAAAGAAGAACTTTTTGTGCCTTCTTTCTGTATAAAATGTAAATAATACTCATTCTTTTTTTACCTCATAGAATTGTGTTAAAAAATCAGGTGATAACGTAAGTATACTTTGTAAACTATGAAGCAGGATAATATGCCTTTGTGCTAAAACTTGAAAAGAAATTCTAAAATGTTAATTTCATGTTGTTTAACTGAAAACTGTCTTATATATTTCTTGCATCAATAGCCCTATTTATAGTTTCTGAATTGACAGAAGGAAAGGAGAAAAGTTAGAAGGATTAGACTGCAATTAATTTTTCTCTGGATAATGAAACTGTATAACCAATCATTCCTCTCTTTACTGATTGTGAGTGCTGAAATTGTAGCTTGGTGATTACAAGTATGTAAGAATTCTTGGCTTCTATATATTGGTGTTCTGTCTACCTTCCCTGCAAACCAAGTCTTAATCTATTGTGTTTTCCCTGCTCCTGATTTATATGAATATTTAAACATTTATTGCCTCTGTAGTAAGCCATCTCCAGGTGAACAAAAAGCAGAGTACAAATAATAATAAAATATAATCTTTTTTACTCATTCCTTTGTAATCCTGGTGGATTCTTGTTCTTTAGTGAAAGAATATGGTAATCTCAGTGATTAGGAACTCAGGTCAAGTATAGTCCAATGAAGTGAAGGCAATTAATATTTATTGAGTGTCAATCATTAGAAATTTTTCAATTATTTATGCTACGTTTCTCTCTATATTGAAGATGAGAACATTTGAGTCAAAATAAATTGGTTATTTTTTCCAAATTTATTTGGCTCCTAAATATTAATGCCAGTATTCAGATTCGGGTATTTCAACTGCAAAACTTCATACTGCATTGCTTCACTAGAGTCAGTATACTTAACATTAATCAAGATCTGTTTTTCTATACATCTTAGTGTTTGACTCAGTAATAAGGATGCCCAAACCCAACTGTGCATAACAATCCTAGCATTTGTATCAGAATCTTCCAGGGGAATCTGCATTTTTAACAAGTTTGACTGATTATTCTGATAGTCATCAAGTTTGAGAATCATTGACTTGGTAGGTTGAACTAGGTGGTCTCATCACATTCCCCTAGAGTTTGATTTCAGTTAGGGAAATATTTCTTTCCAGCAGCTTGAACTGTGCATTGCACATAGTAGGTACTTAATGCTTGTAGGATGAATTTATTATTTAAAATGAAAATATGTGGGGGACATTTAGTAGGTATATATTATTTGTGGGGCAAATACTGTGAATACTTTTAAAAACAGTGATGATTAATTTTTTTTATGTCTTCATGAAGAATGGTATATTTCAATTAAAACTTTTTATGTTGATGAATTCTTTGTAGGTTGGAATTTATCTTTTGGAAGCTGGCCTAGCAAAACTAGACTTTTTGAGTGATGCAAATTCAAGAATGAAAAAGTTCAATCAGCTCATGAAGAGAGTGATGGAAAAGTTATACAATTTTATTATTCTAGGTAATAATATTTAAAGTAAACTTTAAAATTTCTACTACTTAGGAGTTGTGGGTTTTTTCTCTGACTCCTAGATATAACAACCAGAAAAACAACTAATAAAACCATAATAAGAATTAAATGACCTTCATAAAATCACTGTATGACAAAATTATACTGATCTGAAATGCCCCCACTAATACAATTTGTTTTTTCACTTTATTTGCTTAATACTGTGCTTAGCTTATAGTAAGTATTAAATGTTTGTGGAGTCAATATGCAAGTCAAAAGGCAGAGTCTAAAGGGATCTGAGCTGGTTGGAATTTTTGCATTATTCCTGTGCTTTTATTTTGTCATGGCCAGAGATTCTTGGCTGGCATTTATTCCACCACTCCTTTGTAATCTGATGGATAATCTTAAGAGCCTGATTCCTGTAAAGACCAGATAACTTTGCTCTGTCTCTTGGTAAGATGTTGCATCTTTGGTCAGGACTGCAGTTTCAGAGTTTTCTAGCATTGCTCACCAAAGGAGAATGTGGATGGCTAGGTGCAACCCATCAACACTACTGGAAAAACGGCTCAAATTCTCTAAGTCCTGCTCATGGTGGGTCAGCGTTATTTCAGGTGCAAACTATAAAACATTTTCATACTGGAATATTTGGAGGTCAGTTTCTAAGCTTAGTTGTTGAATTGTTTTGACAGTACATTCTTTGCAGAGCTTTATGATATATAATAGTAAATCATTTTGCAAGTTAGAAACTTAAAAGAAGGAATTGGAATTTTCAGGATGAGAAGGAATGCTTTTAAGTACATCTAGAGTTTTTAATGTTATGGTAAGAATTTCATTATTCTGCCTTTTAAAAATTTTTATACTTTTTAAAGCATGACTTCTAAGGAAAACTTCAAATTTACTTATTAGTCTTAGATTATATAACCATAGTAACAATGCGAAATAACCAAGCATATAACCATATATTATTTGTGAAGTTCTGAAAATTTTATGTGGCATATTTTTTATTGAAAAAATAAGTTGTGTATTTTTGATGCAATTTTTTAGTTCTAGAGCTTATGATATGTCCTATAAAAGTGTATAGGCCTATTTCAAAGCAGTTCAGAAATAAATGGAACACTTCTTCACCTTGAAAGAATTGTTTTTAATAAAGAAACATTAGCTAAAAGAAGTTTGTGAATTTGTTCAAGGTTTTTATTTTTTTTCATATTATGATAAACACAAGTTGTCTTCTGCAGAGCAGTTGTGCCCACCAAATGAATCTGATGTTTTTACAAATTTGTATTAATAGCTTAATCACTTCTCTTCTAATTGGCTGGTGCTGCTTTCAAATGCCTATCCTTTTTTAACATAAGAAATTAAATGGGAACCTTTGCCTAATCAGATGTAGAGAAATTATGTCTCCATGTGTATTTTTTAATGTTCAGGTATAAAAATAAAATAAGTTATCCTTTTATAAACTGCAAGTGATATTCACATTTAGTTCCTCCAGATGTTTATGAAATATCCACAATGGGCAAAGCATGTGCCAGCTTCTATGACGGGCTACGGAAACAGAAGACTTTGCCTTTGTCTCACTGGGGAAGGGGAAAATGCATGTAACTGATCGCAGTACCAGATAGGCTGCAATGTACTGCTGTAGCCCGAGTATGAAAGTATTGTACAAATATAGAGGAGAACATCAATTCCAGCCAGGCAAAACAAAAACAAATGCCATCGGAAAAGTAGCAGTTGAACTATCTTCAAGAATGAATAGGTATATTTTTGATCAGCGAAGAATTAAGAATAGGGCCTTCCAGTCACAAAACATGCTGAGCAAGAACACAGAATTGGGCAAGTGAGTTGTATGTTCTTAGAAGGAGAATTGCTTGTAGTTAATGAAAGGCGAATTGGGTTTTGAGTACATTTGTTGTTTGATGTACAGATGCATCGGAAGAGGATGATGAAGATTCAGAGAATGAACCAGAGGGACAGGACATTGATGAGCTCTATCACTTTGTGAAGCAGACACATCAACAAGAAACACAGTCCATCCAAATGGATGTCCAGCATCCTGCACTGACCCCTGTGTTGAGACCCTACCAGAGAGAGGCTGTCAATTGGATGCTACAACAAGAGTATTTCAGAAGCACTCCTACTGGTGGCAAGTATAAGATACTTAAAGAAGGGCAAATTGATTAGAGGGATTATGTGAGAGATATTTAGAGTGAGGGGAAATTGATGACTAAACAAAGCATGTTGAAAAGATAGGATAGAATGTATGTTACTATGAACAAAATTATTTTCAAAGAAATTTTTAAAAATTGAAATGTAGAAAAATACATTTGTGAGTTCCCTCGTTCATAAAAGTTTGTACTGTCTTTTTCTGCCAAAATAAATGCTGCCTTGATTGGAATTTTTAAAAACCAAAAAATTTGTTCACGTGTCTTTCCAACTAAGAAGTGCTTTTAGAACTTGATCAGATGGAAATCTTGCTGATCATCTGCAAGAAACTCTTCACAATTTGATGACAAATGTTAGTGACAGAAAGCAAATTTACAAAATTTAGGACACACATGTGATTAATTTTCCTAGATATTGCATTTTTTCCTTACAGTAAATGATAAGATATCATCTATTGAGTGTTTTTGTGAAAGTAGTAAATTTATGGGAGGCATTTATGCCACTTCTTAATTACTGTCTTTAAAGGGAGGGGCACATGATTAGTTTTTTACATGATTCTAGGAAGTGAGGTGTTGACTACTTCTCATTCCTCCTATATAGATTCATTTTAGTTAATGATGAATAGCTCCTACTTATTTCTCCCATGTTTTCCAGTTTATACTTTCTTATCTAACAAACTTCATTTTTTAAACTTTTCATTTTGGACAATAAATATCAATTCATAGCTAATATTATTTCTTCCC